AACGGTAGTGAGCTTACAGGAGACGGTTTGACGACATTGTTACTTGTTGCGGTATCATACCATAAGATGAGTGTATCTTATAAGTCTCAACAAAGTGCAAATAAGGTACGACACAGATAAATTAAGGAGTTTATGCGTGGAGCATTGCTAGATGACGCTGACATGTGGCCTTACTCAATTAACTGGGTACAGACACAACTGATCGAGACACCGAATTCAGTGACTGGTACAACGCCCGCTCACTATTTCAGAGGCAGATATAGTGAATTAAAAATACCTTCGAACAAGGATTCTCAGGAAGATCATGTGTTACCATGGTTAGAGAAGTTACGTCGTATTAGAGACGTCTTTTTCCTTGTTTAAGAGGGATGAAGGATACCGCACTCAAGAAGCGACAGAAGCGGTGGAATGATTGAAACAAAATAGTCGAGTTTGAGGTAGGCGATATAGTCAACATCATGGCTCCCAACTCCGACACAACTGTGCTTACAGCTAGATATATTAAACAATTCAAGACTTCAGTGGCCGAAAAAAGAGAGGAACTTACGAAGCTAACAATGTTGACAGTTCGGGCGCTCTTAACATCGGGACACATCGTATTCCGACGACAGAAATCACCCTTCGTCGCACACGTGAAGCTATTACACCTCTTATGTCTTACGAGTTTAAGAAGATTCATGGGAAGGACAGACATGAGGACATGACTTATTACACAACGGAGTTTGCAGATGGGGCACAATACAATCTATCAACATCAGCATTTGATGATCCAGAGGTACTGAAAGCTTTTAATAAAAAGTTTTGCAAACGCCTACACAAAAGTAAGGCTGATGCTGAGGCTATCTTACATATAAACAACCGTCCTGATGTAGTCAAGGTATATTCGCAGACATCATTCATTCTAAGTGTCAAAGACAATGTAAAGTACGTACTCCTGAAAAGCACTAAAAAACGTCCCATCCACCATCGGGGGCCACAAGGACATAAACCCAAACGTAATAGAGTAACCGAGTATCTTGTACACTTTGTATAAGAGAACATAGAATAATCATTGAGGCCATTATATGATTGAAACCCGTTTCTTCTTTTCGCTTGTACAATTCATGTGGGCCTTTTGAGTCTATTTGCTTCACAACATTATAATTTTCAAGCTGAGGGGGGAGGGGGGGGGGGGGCTGTGTAAAATCAGCGGGTTCCTATAGTAGAAGCACATATTAAACGTATATTATAAATGTACGGACATGTAAACGTCATGCGGATATAAAACCTGGTATACGTGAAACGCAATTGTAAATATTTGTAACTGCAAAATAGTCAAATAATCTAAATTTAGATATATTGAAATGCAGAAACAGACTAACAACTAATTTATTATTTGGAAATATAATTGTATACAACAGATGTCGGAGACTCTGTTGATATTGATATTGGTGGTTTTTCTATAATGATATGTTTTCCACCAGAATATTGGGATATATTAATTGGAGAGTCTGAGGTGAAATTAACACATGATGACACATGTAATAGTTCCGAATACTCTCAGCGCAAGATACCCCACTAAAAGATGGGGCATGAAAATGATCCCCCTTAGCCAGCCGACTATGTGTACCCGTTTATGCCTTCAATGGGATGGGGAGTTAGGTAGGGGTATATGTGCAGACATTTAACTGCACCAACATGGTGTTTTTGATTTCTTTTATTTTTCTTAACTTGGACCCAAAGTTATTTTATTAGTAATTATTATTGGAGGATTGTTTTGAAGCATGAAATGACAAGGGAATGAAATATTATGCATCCAATGAAATGAAATCTGATCTTAATTACTGACACCAAATAAATCTAGACCTAGGTAGTGAGTGATTAGAGCGGAAATATATAGACAATAATCTCAGTCTTAAATTCCCTAATCTTTAGCTCTCATTACCGAGGGCTGAAGCTAAACTTAAATTACATTGTGTAAATTTGCTTCTAAAACGTATTTCCTTTTACGCTAGTTTATTGGTATCGTTTATAGTCAGCCCGGTTAGCCCGACTTTTACCGTGGGTCGTCAGAGAGGTCCGAATTTTGCTGTACAACATGATTGTTTGCATCTATAACTATGTTATCTGGTTGCACATTACCTGGATTATCAATAAGCACGTGCTCAGGTACAAGTACAGTGTCAATTTGAGGAGGTGGATATTTTGATGCATGCGCATGTGTGTTGTTTGCATCAGATGCTGGAATTGGTTGGTTTTGTGTGGTACTGCTACTATGATGGCTTGGTGCAACACCAGTGAGTACCTGTTGTGAGCTATATCGAGTTTCTACATCTTTTTGGTAGATCGCCAATGTATGGCGTGCTAAAGCTGTGCGGTAGGACCAGATATCAAGATCTGAATATGAGTTTCTATCAGGTGCACTTAATGTTATCGTCTGCGGAGTCATAACTCTTTATGCTTGGTATATATATATGTCTTTCGCCGTCAGTAAACTCCTCATCACTCACTGTTATTTTATAAACAGTTACCCTACCCGTTGTAGACGGTGTTGCTATCACACTCTTTTAACCTTTCCTTCCGTTCAAATGTTTATAATCTCGATTCAAACCGATTCTGTTCATATCGTAAATCTATGTGGTGTCATCATACATACATAGGGATAGGAATAATATGGTGCCTACAACTTGTTTGGCAGCTGCAGGGTCGTTCTTAGGGACCTTGGGCATGATTATAGTACAGGAGTCGCCTTTCTAACCTACTAACCTTAGTAACGTATACTAGCACACCATCTCAAATGTTTCGTATACAACAACTTAAAATAGCGCTATCTAACAAACGGATAGTTTGGCGGGCTATTTTTATATACTAATTGAGTTTGATTAGCTACTAAGAATACATTAAACTTGTCGCGTGGTAGGTTTGAACTCTAGACAGCTGTCAAATGGTTCGTTTTGGCGGGCGTTCTGTACATTATTCGGATGAGTGAGCAATTTTTCGACGACTACAGATATCGAAATACAAGCTGTATCTGACCTGAAGTCTTTTGATAATTGGTGTATTGATGTATCTTGTTTCAACTCTTGAAGTGTGAGATTGTATGGGAGTGTGGCATTGAGAGCTCATGACAATACTCGAACTGGACACGCTTTCCGTGATCCCGCCATTACATATTTTCATGTTCCGCATATAAGGAACGATGCTATACCAATTCAACACCTTTCAGGGTGACTCTATCGACTGGATACCATGCAACACGCTCGAAGCAATGGTTGTTTACCGACTCATGAACGCTCACTCACACAGAGTTCAATGTGCCGTGTCCTCAGTGGCTGCTCACCACTAACCTAGAGTGTACAGGTTGCCCGCCTGCACGTCAAGCATATAGATATACTTGTCACCCACGACTAACACTCTTGTCAATCAACGCGTAGCGTCCTACTGTCAATCTTATTTTGATTTCCTTTACAATACAGCGTAGCATCATATCAATAAAAGTAATACAACACGACATAGCGATCTCCTATATACGAAGCTTGATGCACGTCGAATGTAGGTGTGTCGAATAGTTTGAAAGCTATGCGCCTGCTGGGTATCTATCTGATAAGGCTGCGTCTATGTATGAATATTTCATTAAAAAACCGATATGATACCACATCCTCCATCTGTTTGTGTCTGCAGTACGAGCATGCAGAAAGTGCGCAACCCCGGCCAGACATACCATCGACCAAAGCTGCTTCAACACTGTGCCAGCAGTCGCTGTCGTCGACTCTCACGTTTCTGAATACGCTTACGACAAGCTGGCACCACGGTCGGATCATCGAATGCATCAGCTGTCGCCCAAGTAAGAGATCCTTCTAGCCAGCGCCCCAGGTACTCGAATTGTTGAGTCGTCTCCTTGTGGCGATGCGATATGATGTGTCGAAATGTCGATTCCCCTTCTCGCCAAAGCGATTCATCTAGCAGTGGTTCCGTAGTTTGGTGGGCCAGCCTAATAATGTTTACATTAACCGAACGGTCTTTGAGCTCCGGTCACTTGCTGTTGATCCGAACACTTGAGCCATGCATAAGCCATTTGTTCCAATTTGCGAATGGTACATGGCGGCGATCAAAGTAAACACTGAACGGAGCAGACTCGTGACGCCGTGATATTCAGGGATTTTGATAAAGTGCAGTGAACGGTAAACGCTCATACCACAACTCCGGAAAGCCTACACATAATGCTCGTCCATTGTTTGCTCGTATATAAAAATATGTTTATCCCGACTATAAATGACATATGATCCAAGCAGTGGCTTCAAAGCTTTAGCAGAAAGCCCATTGCTTGTGCAAGTATCACGACCACGTCCCCAGTCTTAAATTCAATCATATCGAACTATCGCATTTAATCGGTGGCATCCACCACGGCATCAGTATACTTGATAGTTTTTCTAACGAAACTTGGCAGGATATTCTTTCCAGCACACATTTGCAAATTTCTTATGACGTCGCTCGGCAGCGACCGGGGTCTGAGGTTGGTATGACTGAGATGTCTTATCAATAATTCGGAGCACCCGTGTAATAGGGTTGGTATGGCTGATATGTCTTATCAATAATTCCGAGCACCCGCGTAATAGCTTTCACGATACTATTCACAAACTCGTTGCCTTCATCGCTTTGACTCCTAGGAGAAAACTCATGCTCGCCAAACACCGATACTAATTCTGTCTCCATGGTTTTGCGTCCTTTGTAGGTACTGCGCGAAAAATGGAATACTCCGACACCACATCCAATATATATAGAATAAATTTGCTTCCTTTCGTTGATACACTCGCCATAATAATGATATCTATTTGTATATGATCCCATGTGTATCGTGCGGTAATATTCATTGAAGGATTTAACCCTTTCTTCATAGTGCATTCTCTAAGGACATACGACAAAATTTCCGTACCCTTCCGCGATTAGAAGTATTTGGTCTCCCTTGTGACCATCATCTCGCATATGTTTATACAGTGGATACTGGCGCCGGATGGCCCTGTTCATGACACTGCCATATCAGCTGTGCCGACGATGACTTCCTCATGCTCTGAGTGGTTGATCGCAACAGCCCCGGCACGTATTTCAGGACCTTGTCGAGTATGCCTGGTCATATCCTTCTGTGGCCAGCTCTCTTGAAAACGGGCAGTAGCCTTTTCACACACAGGTATCTCTAGACCCAGATTACAGCAAATCGATAGGTTGTCCTTGAATCCAGAGGGAGGTACAATGTGTACAACAATGGTATGCTCCCAAAGATACTTGCCACAGGCCTGCGAGCCATGTTTCAACCAAGTAAAAGCCTTGCGAGAGATACTTAGCGGCTCCGTCTGCGTCATTTACAGGAGCAATGGAAACCATGACGCTCGTGTATTCAACGGCAGGCATATTGTTGCAGATGCTTCATCCGCCAACACCCTGCGTAGTACCTCATGTATCATGCGCCACGGGTGGTTCCTCCATGCGCTGTATTAACTTCAGTCAAAACTTGAACGTCCCCTATCCCTGTCGTACCACCAGTACTGTCGAAGTTGGGCTTTGTGGCTAGATGAAAAGGCATCGACATCGTACATTGGGTTCAAAATGATTTTGAACTTGGTCATAGAAATCTGGATACAACAACTTCCAACAAGATGTATTCGACACAGTCGAGAAGCTAACATCTGACGTACTCTCATGAATGCGACTCCACTTGTCCGGTAACTTGTCCAATTCACCTGGTACATGTGTATTTGTGAAATAAATTGTGTGCAGCATACTGATCAATTTCAACTGTGTGTTCATATAAACGAGCTGCGTGTGATCCGTGTGTATGAGAACTCGCTGTCCGATTAAGTGATCATGGAAGTGCACCAGTAGATATATACGAGCTAGCAGTTCCTTTATGGGTGTTGCATATGTTTGCTGGGTCTTTTCAAGTATCTTTGAGGAGAATATAAGAATTTCTTCGGCAATAGCATAACCACTTGCTTTATTTCCAACTCTAGTGGCACACCATCTACAGTAAAGTTCAAACGGATCGCCGACACGATCGCTTCCTTCATCTGATCCCATGTCAATTGATGTTCTGGTTCTCAACTTTCTTCAATCGATACCCTTTGGTTTAAGATTAGCGAACGCACACATAGGGACTTGACCTTATGCGCAAAGTTGAAGTAATTGCTCGTGTAATAAATTTGCCTGTCTTAATCCGGAAGCAATATCCTTCTGACATCTTGGTATTAACCAATCGATTGAACGTTGCTGTTTCTCATGAACAACGATAAGACTCTTAGCAGACACCTTCCTTCCGAGTATAAATATATCTTCCACAGAAAAGTGACACTTCTGATTCAGTTTTAAATTGTTATCCGTTAACAATTGAATGATCTCCTGAACAGTAGCAATGTATTCCTCGTAGTCATTCGACGCAATGATAAGATCATCGACATGGCATTGTACATTCAATCTAGCCATCAGGTTGCTGATCGTACGCTGAATTGTGAAGTGAGTGTTGTCAACCAAACTATTGTTGGATATCCCATGTAAATAAAGCATATGCTGAGAGTCAGCATGTACAGGCAATCGATGGTATGGTACCGACAAATAAAATGTTGTGCAATATTGCTTAACCTTCATGCTGATGATCTCGCTGACCTTTGGTAGCGTGAATTGATCCCCTGAAATGAGTGCATTGAGCTGTTGTAATTCAAACACACACATACTTTGATAAGCTCTACTGACGATATAAAGGATGGTACAGCCAACAATAGAAGGTTCACAATCGATACCAAGGTCCGAAGATTGGTGACCAACTCATGTTCCCATTTGTGAACCCACATTGATACATGTGGTTTATATTCATCGGATACGAAAATTCGTGCCATTCTCCGGCGTGTACAATTGTATTTACAAATATTTAATAGAAGATTGTTTGTTTGTTTGTTCTGTTTTTGCATTTTCAATATATCTAAATTCAGATTATTCGATTATTTTGCATTTTACAAATACCTACAATTGCGTTTCAACGTATACCAGGGTTAAAACTGTATTTAATACGTTTGAACGTTCATACTCCATAGTCTACGTTCATTGTATACCTCTACTATGGGAACCCGCTGTTTTTACTTTAGGCATGTTCTTAGAGTCTCATGAGATGTACAAAATATACCCTGTGTGCAACGCGCGTGTAACTTCTAAGCGTCCACTCGCCTTTGCTTGCATCGTTGGATTAGTACAGATGGATGACTTGCATTTTGTGTCATTTTCGCAGCTGTGGATTCAGTGATGCATGCATATTTTTATGTTCTGTTGCTTACTGCATTTGTGTTCACGGCCTACGAGTCTAATAAGTAGCGATTATGATCCGCAGAGGGAATTTCTCCGGTGTGCTAGCGACTTTAAAAACATACTGATTCTCCTTTATTTTTGTGTAAAGTGAATGTGCACGTTGGTGACGTTGTAGCTTGTCACGAAATATATTTGCTGCTGCTGTCTGATCTTGATTGCGCGGATGTCGCGAAATAAGCTGTTTTTATCACTGTGATCTCCGATATGCAGACAAATTTCGCGAGTGTTGTTTACACGTTGCAAAAAAAAAAACAACAGTTCCCGTCCAAACAGGTTTTGCCAAGGTACGATGCTGTAGTCAGAACCGAGTAACGCTCCACAGCCCAACCAAGTTGAATTCTGGTCTTTCAAGAACTTTTCCTTAAAGATACTCTGTCTTAAGTTATAAAAATAAAAGTACAAGAGTAATATTTTACACGGATCGTGGGGTTACTGCATCTAAAAGCGTAATAGCTTATGACTAAAAACAAATACGTTTATGAAGAATACCAAAACTTTTCGCGTCTTTTCCGCCTAAGGTGTGGATGCCTACCAGTATACTAGGTATCTATCCTAATAGCAGTTTACGGTTTTCTTTTCCCTCTTATCATAGGTTTGACGAAGCATATAATTGCCCGTGTCGTCAACGATCGATGGGTACAAGTGACAGCCCCGCCTGCCACCCAATAATATTTCGCATGTTCCGCCTTCTACGTAATATTGCTATGCACGTACTTTCTTCCACGTATTGATGCTATGCACGGTCCGCCTTCTACATAACAATGTTGTACATGTTCCGCCTTCTACGTGATACTTCTACACATTGGTCCGTCTGGTACGTAATAATGTTATCCAACTCAACACTACTCAGGGCGACTATACAACACGCTTGAGGCTGCGGTTGCTCACCGAATTATAAGTGCTCGCTCAAAGTTCAATGCGACGTGTCCTCATGGTTGCTCGCCTCGGAGTAAGAGTAAACAGGGTGCTCGCCTGCACTCTCAGCATCTATATAAACATACAGTCTATTATGTCGAATGAGTGCCATGCAACACGTTCTGCCCTGCAACACGCTCGTGAAGCTGCGGTTGCTCACCGACTCTAAAGTGCTTACGCAAAACTCAATGATTTGGTTTGAACCGATATTTGGAAATAGTACTTCAACAGCGTGATTAGCCGGGGTATGGGGAATATCTGTTGATGTGTCATGGACGGGTTGAGGGTGCGGTGGTTCTTCTACATGCTGGAGAAAAGATCCAAAGTGTTCGTACCTGTAATTGCTGGAGGAGGTTAGGGTTAATGGGCGGCATTTTCGGGCCTACCAGGATGCGTCGAATCAGTTGTTAGATGCAGGTAAAGTGGCTTGTAGTGAACTTGTGGCTACCGAGGCAGACAGGGCAGAGACAGCCGTCGGTGCGGTAGTCGAGCAATGTGAACATGTACGTATTCGTTACAATCATAGCACAGAGCCGGATTGGTGTAGACTCGAAGCAGCGATTGAAGCTGTCGTGTCTGGCTGTGTCTCGGTTTGAGGTTGGCGGTTTACCAATAACCAGTTGGTAGTAGTATTGGCGCCGGGCCATTGCCGCGATCTCCTTGTTGGACCAACGTTTTGTTGAGTTCTTCCTGACGTCGTCACAGCGTTGTCGTATGTCATCTAGCTCGGACAAGTCTGGGGCCATTCGAAGATTGATCGGTTCCAGTAGTTTATCCATAACATTACGACTAATCTCCGGGAATGAATATAATAATCAAGTTAAGCCTAATTTCAGCTCTCCCATAATATCCATACCCAGTATAATATCAATCTGGTAAGGTCATACGTTCAAACGTACAACCCTTAGTAATAGCTGTCTAGTATCGGACCTTTGTTGCGTGTGTCTTGCCCAAACGTGGAGTCCGAAAAGCCTTGTCCGCCAAATAAATGTAGCTAACATTAGCTGGTAGTGTGACAGATTGCTGTGCCTTATCTGCGGATGCCTGAGTGATGACTGAACGGTTCGCCTCCGTGTCAACGAGGGTGCGCATGTCATGGCCGTTCACTTGTGAAGTAACATATACACGGGGTTCGGCAGTAAATAATTTATGAACAAAGTCAATAGATGTACATTCATTATGTGGAAAAGTCACTAAATGTACATTCACCTATTTTGTCGATGAAAACGTACTGAAATATTGATCAAATATGTACAAATGTACATTTAGCTACAATTACATTTTTTATAATATGTACATTTAGTGACTTTATTGTGCAAAATTTGTTTAAATTTAAATCCAAGAGCCTTCGGCTATATCAATTTTTGACGAAATATTTTGATGAGGGAGGTAATGTTGTCTTTTATTATTTTTTGTTTGTACATGCTACTTCATTAAGCTTATCTCACTGCCTAGTGCGCAACTCACGTGGTCGATGACGCTCTTTTACGGGACCATATGAGAATTGTATTACGATCTTACTATATAAATCAGCTATAGCAGGAGTTGACATACTTCTAATATAATATATATAGCGTTACTTTATACATTGTAATAATCGCAAGGTTCCAATGTCTTGCTTCCCTTGTAGACATATGAAGCCTGCACAGCATTTAACTCGTTTGATTTGTGTGCAATACATCTGTGTATTTGAAATAACGTATAGAGCATGAAAAGTTTTATATATATATATATATATATATATACATATATATATATATATATATACATANATATATATATATATATATATATATATATATATATATATATATATATATAT